CCCCCCCAGGCGCAGGTTCCGGGTTTTGCTGTGTCTCCGGGGCAACAAACCCCCAGGCGGGTGGATGGGTGTTAATTTTGGTGTGGGCATATTTTGGGGGGATGGTTCCCCCCGCTATCCCCCGGTTAATAAGCCGTAAAAGTTCCTTAAATGTGGGGCCGCGGACAGGGAACTCTCATCTTACGGAAAGTCTCCCCCGGCTCTGGGAGGGGTGTGGAGGCTAGTGGGTGGGTAGAGGGGGGAGCTGGAAGCCAGGACTCCTGGGTTCTCTTCCAGGCTCTAGGGGGGCAGAAGGGACCGGTGGATTAGAGGAGGTGTGTGTGGGGGGGGGGTGGTGAGTCGTCTTGGCATCCTTGTCTAGTGGCCTCAAAAATCCTTCTTTAATGGACGAGCCCCTCCTTATTTAAAGGAAATGTATTGAGGGGCACAGGATGGGGGAACTTATTGATCCCTTGGACACCCCCCTTCCCTTAGCGAGGCGTGAATTAACGGAACCCCCCTCCCTAGTGGCTATTAAATTCCCCTCCCCCATATTTCATGCCTTTGTAGAGTTCCCCCTTCTCTTTTCCTTTCCTTCCCCTGTTTCACTTCTGTCTATCTCTCCCTGGCCTGGAACCGGTTAGGTCAGTCCCGGGGCCGCGCCCTGCGGCTCAAACCTGGGACAAAGGGCGGCATGAATGGAGCTACCCCCTTCCCCCTCTCCTGGGCCTCCACCCTCCGCACGCAGGTGGACTCTGCTTGCACCTCTATGGTGTGTGTGTGGAGGCCCTGCCCTCTTCCTCTGGGTGAATTTCCGGGGATCAAAGTCCCAGCCCAACAGGGAAAACAGTGCTGGGGGGGTCCCCACTCCCATTCACCCCTCCTCCTTTTTTTCTCTCCCCTCCAACTTTCAAGAAAAACTGAATCACAGAAGCCAAAATGACTTTTCAGACCACAGGGGAGCCTGGGAGGTGACAAGGGGAACAGAAAGGGGAAGGGGGGGGGGGTTGTGGTTGTCCCAGGACTGTGGCAGGACAGCTGGGTTCTCTGCTTGGCTGCAGGAGGGGCACAGGTGCTGGTGGGCCAGAGCAGGAGAGGACTGGGAGCCAGGACTCTAGGAGCCCAGCAAATCTTTGGATATCTGCACCCACAAATCATTTTTGTGGATATGGATGCGGAGTGGGATACAAATGTGTCCTCGCAAGGCTCTGTCCTGGGTTCTCTCTCTGGCTCTGGGAAGTGGGGGCTGGTGGGTTAGAGCAGGAGGGCTGGGAGCCAGGATTTCTGGGTTCTTTCCCTGGCTCTGGGCAGGCAGTTTATAAACAGTTCTCAGTTACAATCCAGCTGCATTAATCTTATCGAGCTGTTTTATTTGGGAAAACAAACTCCCTTCATTGAGGTCAAGATAGGAGACTTAATCACAACCACAGAGGTCACAGGGCCAGAGCCCTGCCAGATGGGAGCCTACGGCGCCATCCCTTCACCACTCCTCCTCCGGGAAATGTTAAATCATCTCTTGGGTTCTCTCCCTGGTTCTGGGAGGGCAGTGGGGGCTGATGGGTTAGAGCAGGGGGGCTGGGAGCCAGGAGTCCTGGTTCTGAGAGGACAGTGGGGGCTGGCTATCTGCTTGTGTCAATTGCTCCATGGGGCTGGGGCTGCAGGAGATGGAGAGGAGGGAGATTGGTGGCATAGCTGTGTCCTGGGGCACAGAGCATGGTGATGAGAGGGGGGAGGGGTTGCTGACATGGGAGCAGGCTCCCTCAGGGAAGTAATGGTTGGAAGGTAAACACCACACCCAAGTTTTCAGTCTTCTCCTCTACCTAGACTAGAGCTTCAGGGTGTTTATTGAAACTGAGGGTCAGCCCCCTTCCAGAGCAGGGGAGAGAACTCAAGAGTTCTGGCTCTAGCCTCCTTTACTCTAACCACTACCCCCATATCCCTCACAGAGCCAGGGACAGAACTAAGGTGTCCTGGCTCCCTGCCCTCTAACTCACCATCCCCCTTCCTCTCCCAGAGCCGGGGAGAGAAACCTGGAGTCCTAGCTCCTAGCCCACACCCATGAGGAAAGAACCCAGGAGTCTGGGCACCTGCTCTAACTACTATACACCACTCCCCTCTCAGAGAAATCTGTCAGTTTCACTGAAACTCCCTGGCTTTTGCGGCCTTCTGGCCATTTACACCTGTCTCCAGGGAGGGGCCTTGAAAAGTGAGGCTGGGCAGGGAGGGGGAATTGAGATCTGACTGGTTCTGAGTCACGCTGGGCTGGGGTGGGGGAAAGAGGGGAATCAGTGGCTGGCAGGAAGCAGGAGCTAGGGTGTTTGTTTTTAAATTCCTGCCCCTGGGCACCATGGGGGCAAAGTCCCCTTCTCTCCTCCTTCCCCCGCCTCACCGTAGCTAGGTGATGAGACACAAGGGAGAAAGAGGATTTAACCGTTCTGTCTGATCTACTCACCCTATGTTTTTATAGCTGAGGGAGTGAGAGGGAGGGGTACAGCTTAGGAGTCCTGCCCCCAGTTGCTCTCACCCATTACTAAACCTCCCTCCCCTCCTGGAACCAGGGAGAGAACCCAGGAATCCTGTCTCCCAGGCCCCTCCTCCCCCAGCACTCAATTTAATCTAATCTTAGATTTTCCTCCAAGGCAAATTTACATGAGATGGAATGAAAGGCTAGTTACCCAGGTTGTAATGAACTCCGAGCTCTCTAGCTGTAGGAAATTACAGTTGGCAAATTATTTGCAATGTCATCTAGGTTTATAGAGAGAGTGGGGTCCAGTGGTTAGAGCGGGGGCGGGGGAGAAGGTTGGGATCCAGGATTCCTGGGTTCTCTCTCTGGCTCTGGGAAGGGAATAGGATCTAGTGGTTAGACCTGGGAGGACTGGGGCACCAGGACTTCAGGGTTCCTTCCCCAGCTTTGACTCTGAATGCATATAATGCAGGTTACAAAGTCTAACCCACCTTCCTAAGAGAAGGCAGCAATAAAACCACAGTGAATTTAACCCCTCAATACCTGGAGTACAGGAGGCCTGCCTGCCTCTAGATGGCTTGGTCACTTGCCTCCCACCCCCCCCCCCTCCCTGGCCTCTGGGACAGGAGTGGGGCTGGTGAGTTACAGCAGGGGGACTGGGAGACAGGATTCACAAAAATGGCCAGTCTAGGTCAGACGAATGGTCCATCTAGTCCAGTATCTGTCTTCTGACAGTGGCCGATACCAGGTGCATCAGAGGGAATGAACAGAACAGGCCAGTTCTCAAGTGATTCCTCCCCTGGCATCCACTCCCCGTATCTGGCTCTGAGTACCAAGAACTCCCACAGCATGGGGTTACATCGCTGGCCATCTTGGCTAAGGGCCATTGTTGGGCCTGTCTTCTGGACTTCTCCAGTTCTGTGTAGAACCCAGTTATACTTTTGGCCTTCCCCCATGTTCCCTGGTGAGGAGTTCCACAGGTTGGCTGTGCATTGGGTGAAGAAATACTACTCTTGGTATGTTTTTAACCTGCTGCCTGTTCATTTCATCAGGTCACTCCTTGTTCTTGTGTTACATGAAAACGTAAAAAACTCATTAGTCACTTTCTTTCTAACTCTATCATATTCCCACTGAGCCATCTATTTTCCGAGCTGAGAAGTCCTGGTTTTAATTACAGGCAGTCCCCGGGTTACGTACAAGATAGGGACTGTAGGTTTGTTCTTAAGTTGAATCTGTATGTAAGTTGGAACTGGCGTCCAGATTCAGCCGCTGCTGAAACTGACGTAAAAAACTCATTAGTCACTTTCTTTCTAACTCTATCATATTCCCACTGAGCCATCTATTTTCCGAGCTGAGAAGTCCTGGTTTTAATTACAGGCAGTCCCCGGGTTACGTACAAGATAGGGACTGTAGGTTTGTTCTTAAGTTGAATCTGTATGTAAGTTGGAACTGGCGTCCAGATTCAGCCGCTGCTGAAACTGAC